GAAACATTAAAATGTTAAACATAATCTGTACTTCTGCTAATTATTCTGATAAAAGTATATAGTGATTTATCACAAGTGACATTATTTTTCTGAGTCCAGCAAACGATGGGTCAGATGATATAGTAAGGAAATAGAATGCCAAACTATTGCTTAAAAAAAAAAAGAAGAAGAAGAAGCCAGGTGGTAGTGGTGTAATGGTGCATGCCTTTAATTCCAGCACTTGGGAAGCAGGCAGATCTCTACGTTCGAGGCCAGCCGGATCTACAGACTGAGTCTAGAACATCCAGGGATACACAGAGAAACCCTGTCTTGAAAAACCAAATAGCCGGGCAGTGGTGGCACACGCCTTTAATCCCAGCACTCGGGAGGCAGAGGCAGACGGATCTCTGTGAGTTCGAGGCCAGCCTGGTCTCCAAAGCGAGTTCCAGGAAAGGTGCAAAGCTACACAGAGAAAACCTGTCTCGAAAAACCAAAAAACAAAATAAAACAAACAAACAAACAAAAAAAACCAACCAAATAAAACAAAACAAAAAAGACGAGGAGCTGGGGTGATAGCTTAGTCTATACAGCTCTTCCTGTCTAGACTTGAGGATCCTCTCCTGTTTAACTCCCATGTGGAAAGGCAGCCACGGAGGCATGTGTTTGTCAAACCCTGTGATGGGGAGGCAGAGACTGGAGGTCCCTGGGGCCTGCTGGCTAGCCACCTTAGCCTAATTGGCAAGCCCCAGGTCCCAGTGAGAGACCTTGTCTCAAAAATCAGGGTGGACAGCTCCTGAAGAACTGCACCTCTGGCTGCCACATGCACATGCCCACAAAATCATGTTAAAGAACTGTGCAAAGAGAAAGAAAAGCATGACTTAGTAAAATATGCAGGAATGTGTATGTGCTTTATGAATCAGCGAGCTCTGAAAGATTGTTAGTAAGTCAGCTGCCAGGAGTGATTTAAGTTCCGGAAGCCATGTTGGTTCCTTGAGAGCTTTACGTCTGGGCTACAGGAGAACTTCAAGGCTGTGGATCTAAGTGGCCTTGGCCCTACAGAGCCACCCTGGTGTTCAGAAAATGTTTCAGAAGGATCTTTAAACACATCTGGCTTCCAAATGCTTGCATGGAATTTCAGCCCTCACCTGAATTCATATTTAGATTTCAGGTATTCAGTGTGGTTACTTGTTTCTCAGTGAGACATTCAAATGTTTTTCCATTTCTTAGATGGCTCTTCCTCATTTTTGCAGACTACTGGTCATCACAGAGGCCCACCAGCATTTCCCACATGTCTTCAGTCTCTCTGTCTTTCAGGATGAGGCCCATACTCCGTGGTAGAGCCCTGGGTTCTATCACCAGTGGAGATAAGTAAACCGTTTCTCCTTACCCACATGCAGCTTTGATGACTTTTCTCACTATTTCGATCTCTTTTATTTTCACCAGAATAAGCCTCTTCTTATCAGCACATCCAATGCTCTCCAGCGCTTTCCCAATTATCAGACAGATGGGGTTAGAATGTTACAAAACACCCAGCACTAAATACAGGCAACATGTCGGTGGCAAAAAAGTAGTTAGCCAGGGTTGAAATTAACAACAGCGGACGCTGCTACTGTCTGCCGGAGGCCAGGGAGGCTGAAATTCTACGGCTTTTTTTTTTTTTTCCATTTTTGTGAAAGGTGACAGGTTGCCAAGCTGCCAAGAATTTCTCCTGCCTTTGCTCATAATGCTCCGCTGAAGTACATTTGAGACATCAACCATCAAATTACATATAAATATGTAATCAACTAAAGTTATTTTTAGTCAGCTCAGTGGGTTTACATTGACTGAACGGGCTGAGGCTGCGGGTTTGAACCTACGTGGCTTATTTAACGCATGAAGAAAATTCATCACCTAGGTAGTCTGTCCCTACAATCGAGCATGTCACGAACGTGAGCTCTTCAGGAGACCTAGCTATATACTGGGTAGAAGGCAGCCACATCATTTTAGGTACAACCTCCCTAGGGCAATGCAAGTACCAACCTTCATAACAACGACCTTGGGCTCTTCCATCTCAGAACCTCAATTAGCCATTCACGAAAGAGAAGATGCCTTAGTCATATGTTTAGAACATTTTTTAATGTATTTATAAGCACAGGTTGGATCACAATGTTCTCAAATGTAAAATACTTTTAAAAAAATCAAAAGAGGCCTTTTCCTCCCCCCAATGGAGAGTATTAGAAAACTAGAGGGTGGTATCTGATTCAGCTCACTGCCTGGGGACCTGATGACAATTAATTCCTATCGAGTTTGTGCCCTGAGATTTGCCGGAGCTCAGGTCAGCATGGCTGGAGGATGCTCCACAGCTCTCCAGGCACCGAATGCTATAGATTCACAACCTAGCTTCCGGGGAAGAAAAGCAGAAAAGCAGCTCCCTAGGTCCCTCTGTTTGAGGATCTGCTCCCCCTTCTAGAGCCCCAAGTAGTTCTGTAAAACAAACAAACAAAACAACAATAACAACCACAAAACCCCACCATGTCCCTGGCCTCCTCGCTGGGGTTTGCAGGGCTCCCGTGAGGTCTGTCCCCCCTCCCTCCCCACTGCTTCCCTCTCCCAGGCCTCTGAGTCAGCCTGTGAGTCACCTCACTCATTAGCCCAACTCAGAACGCCTCTCCATCCCCAGATCTCCTTTGTTTCCTTGCATCTAACAGCTTTCCTGGCAGCCCCCAAAATCCAGAGGCAGCCTTGAAGCTGGGAGGGTGGGTTTCTACCCAGACAGTCTGCTCAGTGAAGAGAGACCGCCGGCAGACACGGAGGAGAATTAAGATGGAGACGGCAGTGTGCACACCGTGGCTTCAGAGGGACGTCAGTGACCAGATTTAGCATCTGCGCCTCTGTCCGTTTATAGGATGGCACAAAGGTCACTGGATCTGGTGGAACCCGCCCTCGTCTTCTTCCCTTTTTAGACAGGGTGTCATTATGTAGCCCTGGCTGCTCCGGGACTCGCTGTAGAGACCAGGCTGGTCTCAACTCACGGAGATTTGCCTGTCTCTGCCTCCCAAGTGCTGGGTCAGAGGGAGAGCCAGCCACACCCAGCTGCCCTTTCTTTCTCTCTAGTCTTTGCTTCTTCTCCCCACCCTTCCTTCCAGACACAAGCCCTCGGATGGTACCGGGAGGAAGCTTATGGACTGTTCTGGAGACAGACAGGAAGGGAGCAATCAGTGTCCTTAGGCCATGTGTACTCTTATCCAGTCCTTTCAGGTCTGTCTGTCCATCTCAATTCTCTCGATTTTACAGCCCCCAATGCTTTCCCTCTTGTGGGAGGTAAACAGGCAAGGCTGGATGAGAGATGGAGTCATCCCTGGTGATGCCTCCTGGGTTATCAAGACGCCCAGTGAAAAGATGTTAATAAGAACTCTAAATTCACTTGTAGGAACAGCAGCACCGTGGCACCGTTATTAATTCATTAATCATAAAGCCCTTTGTAAAGTGGGGAACATTCGACTTGGCTGAGTGTGACACTTTTCATTAAATTCCATGATTTAGTTTTGAAAGGCTCCTCAGAGACCACCTGCACTTCCCATCCTATGGCGATTACGAAGCACCTGTGAGGAACCAAGCCTGTGTGGCTGCCCTGAGACTCCGCTGTGAGGTCTGTGTGCACAGTCACTTCAGAGGCTGGCTACGATGCAGATTCCAGTTCAAGAGGCCAGGTGGGAGGCTGTCTTCTGCACATCTGTAAGTTCCCTGGAGGTCCCACTAGCCCAGGGATCACATGGGGCACGACAAGACTCCAGGGGCTCTGAAGAAATGGGGCAAGACTTACTGTCCCCAGGAATCAACCTGCAGCTTAGGGACACAGCCCTCCACATTCCTCCTCCTCAGCTGATGACATTTGTCCGCAAGGCCCAGACAGTACTGGACGTTCTTCCAGATCTCTTTCCTAGCATCACTCCCAGTGGAGGGTGTTAACAACGCAAGATTTAGGTTTGGTATTAGTTCAAGAAACAGGCCTCATAGATTGTCAGCCTTGACTGTGAGGTCTCATCTAGCTCAAATTACCAGGAAGCTTAGAATTCACATTTAGGCAGAACCTGAAACGAATAAACTGTTTGATTATTACAGGGATCCCCACTTATTATTTGATAAGTCAATCTTTTGCTGATTTTTCTACTGGGTCTTTTGCCTTTTAATTACTGACTTATAATAATAAAGAGAATAAAGTCTTCCATATATATATATACATATATATAAATATATATATCTTTATTAAATTTAGAGTTTGGAAACTTAGCCTGTAGGCAAACATTAATTTTCTTGTTAATTTAGTCAGGCATCGTGACACACACTCATAGCTGCAATATTCATGAAGCTGAGGCAGGAGAATGATGTGCAATTTGAGTCTAGCCTTGGCTATACATTTCTATACAGTCCTTGGTTATACAATTCTAGGCCTGCCTGGACCACAGAGTGAGCCCCTGTCTTGGAAACAATGTCTTCTTCTTGCTAAACTGAGCAAGCCTCTATTGCAATGCAGTTCCGTCTCTGTGGACGGAAGTATGAAAGAGGACTACGCGTCGCGGGGAACTGCTAAGCAGGAAGAGAAAGCGCAAGCCCTGAACAAACACACGCCATGCTCAGTTTGCCCTCAGAGCTTGTATTAATCCAAGAGCTTTATCGAGCCTCGTGCCAGGCTCAGGTGACTGATGTTGACAAATTCCAGTTTTGTTTTGTTCTGCGCTTAGTTTGTTTTTGGTTAAGCAAATGTTTGTCAGGCAATGGCAAGGATTCTCTATGGTGTCCTCAGGCCTGGCTGTTCTGAGACTCACAGGGGAAAGTTTGAGGCTGTGCATGAGAGCTTTCTCTGTGTAGACGAGCCCATGATGTGTGCCAGCCTCTGGCCTCCTCCACCGTCTCTCGCTCAGCCTTCCGCAGATGTACTCATCTCCCATTCTCCCACTCCTAACCCTCTAAGCACGAAACCCCCGTAGCACCCAGGAAAGATGGCTGGGTGTCTCCATCTCCCATTCTCCCACTCCTAACCCTCTAAGCACGAAACCCCCGTAGCACCCAGGAAAGATGGCTGGGTGTCTCCTTATCCTCTCCGTGTGCTCGCATCTCTCTTGGGAAGCTAGGCTTGCTAAAGTTCACACATACGAAACCTCCCTTTTCAGTATTGGAGATCGAACCTGGGACCTCATGCCTGTTAGGTAAACTCTCTACCACTGACCACATCCTGCCCTCTTTTTTACTTTTTGTTTTCTTTCTGTGTGTGTCTACATATGTGCACATGTATACGTAGGTGTGGGTGCGTGTGCGTGCATGGGAAGGGCAGAGGTCAGGATGGGTATCTTCTGTCACTCCCCACCTAATTCCTTCACTGAATCTGGAGCTCACCAATTTTGGCTAGACTGGCAGACCAGCAAAACTCAGGGATCCCCCTGTATCAGCACCCCCCAGTGTTGGGGTTATAGGCACACATCGCTGAACCTGGCGTTTTATGTGAGTGTTGGGGATCCAAACTCAGAGTCTTATGTTAATGAGCACTATCTATGGAGCCATCTTAACTCATTTTACTCTTTACTTTGAAACAATCTCATTAAGTTGCCAGAGTTGGATTTCAGCCCACTTTATAGCCGAGGCTGACTTTGAACCCGCCATCATCCTGCTTCAGCCTCCTGAGTAGCTGGGACTCTAGGCTTGTCGTCAGGCCTGGCTCTGCTTTATAGTACAAGCTCTATACCTACTTGTATCATCATTTAGACTGACCAGTTTTTGCTTCAACTTAACTAGAAATTTTGTACCACTCCCCCATCTATGGTTTTTAATGCATTTATGTTATCTCGACCACTGTCAGGGAATATCAGAAGATAATATTTTTTTTTGCCTCTGATGGATTTGGGGGTTTCGATAGAGTCAAAGGAAGAAACATCTAATGGCAAAATTGATCGACTCCCCAGGTAGAGAATGTCCCCATCCTTACTGCTACCCCGTTATCCTCTCTGCACACAAATCTGCCTTACAGCTCCTGCCACTGAGTGAACGTAAAATGAACAAGTCGATATTATTGAATCCCGTGCATTTGCCAAACACCGTGCTAAGTGCCTTCACATACATTTTCTCGTTTAATGGCTCCTTTGCTTACTTACTGCAGTGGACAAAGTGGAACTGGGCCTTTGCTTGCTCCTCCCCCTCTCCGTCTGAGCTAGCCTTCCGCTCACACTGAAACAAAATCCGTTCTTCCTGCATTTCATCCAGGTCTACGGCCGAAAGCTGGCCTCTCGTTTCTAGAAGACGAAAGCTGCGGTGATTTAGGAGAAAGTGAGTAGATGGGGGCCGAAGGCTACCTGCCGCCTCACGCGGCGTCGTGTGCCCATGTGGGTGGGCTCCTGCCTCTGGCTTCTTTCCTGGATCAGTATCGTCCTCTGTGGGACAAGGTTCGTCATCCCTTCACCCCTCCCTTTGACTGCTCTCTGAACATGTGTTTCTTACCACTCCCACTAAACCCACGCCCCCTGACAGAACAAAATCAAACAAGACAAAACAGTCCCGTCTCCTGGAGACACTGGACAGGTCTTACCCATCCCTGAGACGGCTGGCTGTTTTCTCCGCTCACTGTGATTCAGATCTTGGATTCCCCCTAGGAAAGCGTTGCCTGGGTGAAGTTGTACCACCAGCAAGAAAGGAATCTTCTGGGACTCCAGGAGAAAGCTTCCTCCTTATCTCAGCTCTTAGGAACGGCTCTCCAGCGGCTGACATGGCCATATGGGCCCAGCCCCAGGGCTGCTGCAGGCCTCCCAGGTGTCTTAGAAATAAGGAGGCAACCGGTGGTGTAGCCAGAGCTGAGCGGAGGCAGTGACCCGTTTACAGAAGTATCCCAAAGCACGGTGGCCGGCAGCCTGGGCTGCAGTGCCTTGGCATGTGGCTAAGGTGCAGCCGGCCTAGGCTGGTGGAGCCAAGGGAGACCCTGAAACAGGGCCCGTGTGCCATCATCATGGGGTGACGTTGTTATTCCAGAGGCTCCTGCCATTCTCTCCCATGTGCAGTGGGCGTCTGAGTAACTGGTGGGAACTGAGCTGGAGGTGGGCACACATCTTGCCCTCCACAGCAGAAAGGCAAGTAGGAAACTGTGGGAGAGACACTTAAAACTTAAAGAAACTCATGCCGGGCGGTGGTGGCACACGCCTTTAATCCCAGCACTCGGGAGGCAGAGGCAGGTGGATCTCTGTGAGTTCCAGGCCAGCCTGGGCTACAGAGTTCTAGGAAAGGAACAAAGCTACACAGAGAAACCCTGTCTCAAAAGAAAAAAAAAAAAACTTAAAGAAACAGGCTCCAAAAGCTACACAGAGAAACCCTGTCTCAAAAGAAAAAAAAAAAAACTTAAAGAAACTCAAAATTGTAAAGTTGAGAGCATAGTCCTCCAAAATGTGTGAGAGATTGTACAAAAGGGTGCTGCGATGGTTTCTGTTAACAACTTGACACAATGCACAACCATCTGGAAGGGAGTCTCGATGAGGGATTGCCCAGATCCATGCAGTGGTTTGAATGAGGATATTCCCCCACAGGCTCAGATGTTTGAATTCTTGGTCCCCAGTTGGTGGTGCTGTTTGGGAGGCTTAGGAGGGGTGGATCTTATGTCCTGGAGGTTGGCGTTGAGAACATAATATACTCATGTCACTTACGGTTCATTCTCTCTGCTTGCTGCTTGCTGTTTGAGATGGGAGCTATTCCTGCCGCCATGTCTGCCACCTGCCACCAAGACACCTGCCATGAGGGACTCTTATGCCTCTGGAGTCATACGATCAAGTAAATTCTTCTCTAACTTGCCTTGATCATGGCGGGTTTTTAACTTTAAAAAAATAATTTGTCTCTATTTTATGTGCATTGATGTTTTGCCTGCATGTATGTCTGTGTGAGGTTGTCAGATCCTCTGGAATTAGAGTTACAGACAATTGTGAGATGCCATGTGGGTGCTGGGAATTGAACCCAGGTCGTGTAGAAGAGCAGCCAGTGCTCTTAATCACTGAGCCATCCCTCCAGCCCCCATCGTGGTGTTTTAATCACAGCAACAGAAAAGTAACTAACACGATCAGGTTGGCCAGTGGGTACGTCTGTGACAGGCTTTTCCTAAGTGCATTCACGAGGGGGAGACCCACCCTGAAGGTGGACAGTGCTGTTCCTTGGGTTTGGGTCCTAGACAGAATAAACAGGGAGGGGGATGAGCACAAGCAAGCAAGCATGGCTCAATTCTTTCTCTGCCCTTGACTGTGGATGTAATGAGGTGACTGCTTCAAGTTCCTGCCTCGGATCCCCCACAATGATAGACTATCACCTGGACCTGTGAGCCAAAATGAACCTCTTCTCCCTTCACGTTGCTTTTTGGTCAAGGTAGTTCATCCCAGCAGCAGAAATGGAATCAGGACATGAAAGAAGAGGACACACCATGGAGCCAGGAGCAGGAAGCAGTGCCAAGGGGCAAAGGCCATGGAGAAGCACAGAAGATGAGCAGCTGCCGTCAGGATGATAGAAGACGTGTCTGGGAGGTGAGCCGGGTCAGTCGATAACGGTGTGCTCTTGCCTGTCTTTGACAGGGTCTGAAGTCTATCTGAGGGAAGTGGGAGCCATCAGCTGTCCTAGGATGAGGGAAGGCCATTCACAGATGGTTTTTCTCTTGGCCCATGAGAGGGGTGTGTGTGTGTGTGTGTGTGTGTGTGTGTACATTTCCCCATACTCTAGGGTCACATGTACCACACAGCTTCATTCCCAGCTCTATATCTGGCTTTTATTTATTTATTTATTTATTTATTTATTTATTTATTTATTTATTTATTTATTTTTTGTTTTGTTTTTTCAAGACAGGGTTTCTCTGTGTAGCTTTGTGCCTTTCCTGGAACTCACTTGGTAGTCCAGGCTGGCCTCGAACTCACAATGATCCACCTGCCTCTGCCTCCCGAGTGCTGGGATTAAAGATGTGCGACACCACCGCCCGGCCTATATCTGGCTTTTAATCAAAAAAACTTTATACAAATGTCTATAGGAAAAGTATGAGTTACTCTTTTTATTTCCCATTAATAATATTTTGGGGTTTTTTAAATAAATTTTAAAAAGGAATGAACACTTAAAAAAATTAGGCTTCATCCTGACTCTGACTTTCCCAGCAGACATAATCAGAATCCTAAAGGAAGTCACAAGTTAATTATAATTAATAATAAATTATAATTAAATTATAATTAATAATAAAGTTAGGACTCTGTTCATAGTCAATCTTATTTCTATAATACCTAAAATACAGTGTCCAGCCCATAGTCTGTGGAGTACTCAAGCAGTTTCCCTTTTGCATAGAATTATATAGGAATTAACATACACAGGAGAAAAAAAGATCCATGATAGGTATAATCAAATCCTGACATTTTAATTCTAATATCTTATTTTTAACTAATTTTAATTGGCATGTAATAATTACTTATATTTATGGGGTAGAGTGCGATGATTCAATCCATATATGCAATGTGCATTGATCAAATCAGCAGGATCGGCCTTTCCATCTCATTGGACATCTGTCACGTCCTGTGCTCAGAGCCTGCAAACGCCTCTCTTCTCGCTCTTTATAAAGTATGGAGTAACTTGCTGTGAACTGTATCCGGCCTGTTGTGCTATCATCCCTTTCTAACTGGCATGCATTAGTCAGTCTCCCTCTGTCCTGCCTCTCCTACCCTCCAAAGCCTCTTTCTATGACATGTCACTATGTTCGTTTTTGGAAAGTGATTGTAAGATGGAGACTGTATGCACAGTAACATTAGGACCAGTGTGGAGAATTTTGCAGTCCTGAGACCAGGAAACGATGCCAGCCCAGGCAACACCAGAGGCAATAGGGATGCAGACAGGAGGGTCTGAGAGGCACAAAGCTGTTGCTCCAGGTGGGGGCGGCAAGCATTCTGATGACTCTAGGTTTGGTAGGTGGGGGCAACAGCAAGAAAGGAAGACCTGTTGGGAGGAGCCTGGGGCAGAAACCCTTCCATTCCCTTGAGGACCACCTGGATGCCAATGGAACTGGGGGCTTTCCTGATGCAATGCAAAAGAGGTTTGATGAGGTCCCAGACCCCGGCGGCTAGAAAAGATGAGGCTCCTCACACCTGCCTGGTTGCTAAGACTGAGTCTGTGTGGAACCCAGGCTGCAAATGAGAGGTCTTCAGTACCTGCAGCCAAGCAGGGCCTGACAAGCTGTTTCCATGGAGACACAGAGCTGTGTGCAGACGTAGGCGGGTTGATCCATTCCAGAGCCTTGGGTCACAAGGCTGGAGCGGGCTAACAGGAAAAAGGCATGATTGATCAGGAAAGGATGTTCAAAACTATTGGCAGCTAATTGAGGTTGTGTTGTCATAATTCTAGATTAAGTCTAACAAATCAGGATCCTGCTAGCTACCACTTAGCCGGAGCACAAGGAAGCAGACACCAATTCAGGCTAACTCCAAGTGTGCAGACACCCATCGCAGGCCATTCTGCATCCTTGAGCTCTTAAGCAGCTACATCTCTCCTCCAACTGTCTGAGACACAGGCCGCGATTGGGGGAAGTTAATCTCCTTTTCATTTGTCATAGGAATGGCAAAAATATGCCGGAAGCCTAAGCCTGGCTCTTGAAAAACTCAAATGCTGGCAAAGCCCCAAGCTGGATGTTGGGAAGCATTTTGAGAACTACTGTTCACAGAGAGCCAGCAGCTTCCAGCACTCGGGAGACGGAGGCCAGGTGATTAGTGATTCAAAGACTGCGGCAGCTACATGAAACCTTATCTCGAAATGAAAACTAACAAAAGAAAGCCAGCAGCAGTGAAGCCCTGAATGTGTGGTGTGTATATGTGTATGTCTTAAAATAGACATAGCATGGAGTTTACCACTGGACACTTTCAAGTGTACAATTTGATGACATAAAGTACATGCCTGATCTTGGACTGGAGATGTAGGTCATTGGTACAGCATGTGCTTAGAATACACCTGCTGTGGGTTCCAAGTAGTACTTTTTTTTTTTTAAGTATGCTTACAATCTTATGCATCCATTATCACTATCTACTTCCAAAATTTTATTTTGGGTAAGCAACAACTCCCCATTAGATTTTGCTTTCATTAATTTTGTGTTGTTATAACAAAATACCAGAGGCAGGTACTCTAAAGGAGAAAGGTTTATTTACCAGGAGTCTAGGGATTCAAGAGCATGATCCTGCCATCTGCCTGGTCTGTTGAGGACCTCGTGGTAGATGGCTTCACAATGGTGGATGTGCATGTCGAGGAGGTCACATGGCAAGGTGGGATTCATTAACCCAGCATCAGTCTGCATATGGGCAGAGCCTCCACATCCTGATTATTTTTCACCAGGCTCTACTACCTCATCACCACCACACTGGGGACCTAGGCTCCAGTACATGAATGACCCTCTGGGGGACTTCAAGATATTGAACAATGAGATTGTGCCCCAGAGTTTCTGCTGGCAGAGTGATGGTTAATCTTAATTGTCAGCTTGGTGGAATTTAAAATCACCACGGTACATCTGTGAGAGATTATGTAGACCAGCTCTACTGAGAGGGGAAGATCCACCCCAAAGGTGGGTGACACCATTCCGTGGGCTGGGATACTCTCAGACTGAACACTAAAGAGTAAACAAACTGGACAGGAGCCTCCATCTCCCTCTGCATCCCGACTGTGGCTGCAATGTGACCAGCCACCTCAAGCACCTGCTGCTGTGCCTTGCCGTCATCAAGGACCGTACTCTTTGGAACTGTGAGCAAAAATAAGCCCCTCCTTCCTTCATTGCTTTTGGCGGGTGTTTGATCACGGTGCTGAGACAACTAACTCGGTTAGCCCGCTGCCGGTGAGAAAACTGGGTGGAGCTTGTTTTGGTTGGTTGCTGTTGTTGTACACATGGCGGATGGTGGCATGAAGGTCCTCAGGAGCTTCTTAGACCTTCTGTCTGGGAGGAGGTCGATGTCAACTTCTTGGGCTGGTAGAACTGACTCCTCCTGGCCTGCAAGTGTTCCAATGGCTGAGAGCAGTGCTAAGAAGTCAGCTGAATTACGTCAGGGCCAGGGGGTCCTTACAGAGATCTTGTTAGAGGGGAGCCTTCTTCCCAGATTAGTGGGACATAATCATGGGAAGAACTATCCAGGAGCCAGCTTCAACTTAAGTGAGAAAAAAGCATCTGAGTTTGAGAGAGATGAGACATTATAATATTTATAATATTTTTAATTTATTCTTTGAGAATTTCATATAGGTATACGATGTGTTTTGAGCATATCCATCCCAGTACCCCCTCCAAATCCCCTTAGGACTTCCCAGCAGGCACCCCTGCTGACTACATATTCTTTCCTTTTTTCCTTAATAACCCACTGAGTCCAATTACTGTTGTCCCTATACATACATTTCTGAGGATCAGAAAGAGCAGATTGTACATCTTTTCACCATGGAAAAATTGACAGTTGTACTAAGTAATTCATGTTTGCCAGCTCAATTTGGCTACTTTGCAATATGTATATATTACAAAAATTATGTTCTACATAATAAATATTTGTAATTGTTCATTTAGGTACTAGCTGTTTTTTTACCTTAAATTTTTTGATAATTTCATAGATGAGTGCTGAATCTACATCATTTCCACCCTACCTCTCTCACCTCCAATGCCTCCCATGCCCCCCACCCCCTCTCAAATTCATGACCTATTCTTCTTTATTATTGTTACATATATATAACTATATATATATTGCTATGTACAATACACAAACATGCATATATAAAACTTACTGAGTCCATTTGGTGTTGCTCATATATACATGTGTTTAAGACCGACCACTTGGAATTGGATGATTTATCAGGGGATGAGACATTATTTCGATGTAGAACAGTAGATACTACTAGACAATCAGAACTTAGAATCTGAAATTTCCTAATCTCCTTTCATAATTAACACCTCCCAGCTTTGTGACTTTGCTTATTTGTCCAACCACAAGGTCAGTGTGTTTAGAATATTGTCTTATTTTCTAGTCTTGTTGCTGTGATGAAATGCCCTGTCAAAAGCAACCTTAGGGAGAAGGGCTTCTTCTGGCTCTCTGTTCAAGGGAACCGTCCGTCATGGCGGGGAAGTCAGACGGCGGGAGCTTGACGCAGCTGGTCGTATCCTGTTAATAACTAGAAGCAGATGTTGAGGAATGCTTGTGCTCAGTTCCATTTCCTCACTTCATTTATTCCAGGACCCAGCCCAGGGAACAGTACCACCCACAGTGGTCGGGTCTTCCCACCTCAATTAATCTAATCAACAGCGTCTCCCACCAGCATGCCCAGACGCCCACGTTCCAGGTGATTCTAGATCTCTGCAGCTGACAGTTAGTACGAACCCCCACAGTCATCTAGGCCAAGGCTCAGTCTGTAGCTCCTTTGTATAGTAATCCCTAGAGTTGGAGCAGACACCTCAAGGATACCTGCTCATAACAAAGGCGAAGGCGAGAGAAGGAACAGGGTTGATTTGGGGAAATTTTTTCTACTGTAAATCCAATCTAAC